TCCCCAAAGAGGGCTGGCTGAGTCTGGGCAAGATGCACTTCAGAAAATAGAAACATTCAGCCAAGGTTAGCTACACTACATGCACAGCCTTCATCTCCCTCGCTCGCTTTCAGCGCTTTCAATGCTAACAAGCAGCTGGTTATGGCACGGGTGCCATAGGCTCGTTACCATGCCCCAACACCGTGTTCCTGGCTGTTTGGAGGGTCACTGCCTTTCCCCAAGATGACCCCAGAACTCTCCTCCCTCCACACTCCCACATCCTGACCCACATTCATGCCTCTAGGCTAAACTTTGAGGCTGGGAATACACTGGCACCCGGAAACACTGAGAGTGAGGCAGGGTGAGCCCAGTCGCGACTTACTTCTGCTTCACAAATTCATCTGTGATGAGCTTCCTCAGATCACCAAGGAAAGGGTGCCTCACCCTGAGGGCAAATGAAGGAACCCAGGATTACTGAGGGGCACTGGCGTATGGGGGCAGGGCTACTCCTCAGCTCCATCCCGAGCTCTCTGGCCCACGGGGCGTGCCCATGGGGGCCGGGCACACAGCAGAGGCCAGAGGCCAGTGGTTCAGGGCTGCTTGAGGGAGGGGCTCAATGGAGAGCCACACTCTGCTTTGACTCTCTGAGATCTCCTCTGGGGACTGTGAGCTGATAGGGGCTGAGAGTTTGAGACCGATGTCCCCATCCATCCTGGTGAGACCTTCTCCTTTCTACGGAGCCTAGGGCAACCGTCCCCCTGCCCAAGACCCCAGGCCACCGCAATCCCGGGGTCTCCTGTCGCAGGATGGCACTGAGGGCCAGGAGCTGAGGAGCTGATCATACCCAGGACGAAGTCCCATCTTGCGGAGTGCATCCCAGAGGACAGCTGTGAGGTGAAATGGGGGTACAATAGTTTGGCACACGAAGATGGGACCGTGGGCAAATCCCCAGCTGCAGGGCCCCCACTCACCCTCGCTGGCACGGTTGCCATTCATGAAAATGACACCCAGAATCACCAAAAGCAGACTGAGACGGGGAGTGTCCTTGGTCCTAAGGGTGGACAAGAGGGACGCTGTCAGAGGCCCTTCCCCTAGTCTGCAGGAAGGTCTCCCCAGAGGACTAACTACCCTGCCAAGCCCGAGCCTTGCATGTGGGAGCAGGGATGAGCTGCTTTCCACCGAGTCTCCCAGGAGGCCAGCCAAGTCCCACAGCAGCAAGGCCTTGCCCTGGGATGCCACTGTTTTCCTCCAGCAGTCACTGGGTGC